TGCAGCTGCATTCATCAGAGCTTCGTTGGCGTTCTGCGCCGAATCAACCGGGCTGCTCGCGCTCCGCCTTCTTCCGTTTCCTCAAGTTCTGCTGCCGCACGGTAGCCAAAGCTCTTGCCCTCTCCTTGGCCGCCAGCTTCAGGCTGTCTTCAGCAGCAACAAGCTCTTCCCGCTTCTCTAACCACTTTTCGCGTTGCTTTGCTTGGTAATGAGCCTTTGCTTCTGGGGTATCCCAGCTTTCTTTGAACCCGAATTGGAGAAGCGAGGCCTGCACGTTGGCACCAGTTTTTGGCTGCACATTCGACGTAGAAGGGACTGGGAGATTGGACCGTGATTGGGCAAAAGATGCGAGGGTTGCTTGCTTGATCGGAGGAAGCGCAATACGAGCAGGAAGGTCTTCGTCATCAGCGCTCTCAGAATCTGATATCACAACCTGTGTTCGAGCTTTCTTTCGAGGTGGCGCTTCATCTTCAGTGTCAGATAATTCGATGGGATTGTCCCGAGGCTGGACAGACTTGGGTGCAGTCGCTGGGGAAGAGGTGGTGGATGGGTGGGCTTTGGGTACGGTGGATGTCGTGGAAGTGCGAGTTTTTGACGGCATTTTGGCACCAGACTCCTTCGCGGCATCAACGAGTCGTCCCAGCCACGCAGAAGCCCATGGTTCCCTATCCTTGGGCTCTATTCGCTTGAAGACATCGGTCAAGAATGGAATGAGGCTCAATACACCTGCTCCCCTCTCTCGAAAGCGAATCATGCCACCGTGTTGATGAAGTTCAAATGCAACCTCTAATGCACGACTTGCTGCAGCGAACACCCCACCATCCTCAATGACCTCGGGATTAAGATGAAATTGCAAGGTGTCGGCATCATCTGCTGATTTTTCGGGAAGTGTAGATGGGAGATGCTGGAGGAGATCTTCAAGGTGTCTCACTCGGTTGAGAATTTCGCGCGGTGGGCCGGTAGATGGCTTCGATACTTTGGATTTCTGGATATGGCTTCGTGCCATTGGACTTTGGTAGGATATTAGAGAGGGAAACAAGAAACACTCCACTCTCTTAAGCTTGTACTGTCAATAGTCTCTCGTCGTCAAAGCACTTAGAACTAAAAAAGCCAACAATGGTAAATTGCTGTATGAGTAAGTACTTGTTTATGAACAATGTTTCAGTCAGTCAAAGAGCGTGACGCATAACGCGTCGGCTGTTTCCTGTTGCACTTGGTTTGGGGACCGTGACGGTCAGTCTGCCGTTTCACTCCCGCAGAACGCGACAGTATGTTATAAGATTCAAAAGACCCAAAAGGTCTTATGCATCTTAAATAGGCCAAGTCCATATCTTATTTAAGATAGCTAAGACAAAATAAGACTCCTGTAAGATCTTTTATAAGATCCCTATAAGACACATGTAAGATGCTTAAGTTCCTTTTGAAGTATGGTCAAATTCTCGCAGATGTATTCAAAATGTTATTGCTATCCAGTATAAATGCTACAAATATAAGCTACTATGGAACCAGCCTTACGCTCGCTTCAGCAGGGCACTCTTCGCAGCACCTGAACCGAACATGCCGACCTTCCACCGAAGTTGTCCAGGACCCGTGCCCCTTCGCTCAACGGAATCCAGTGCTCATATTGCTACCAGATGTCGACCAGCGGCTCGTCCGGCGGCAGCACTGATGGGAGAGAGAAGTTAGAACATGTCGTGAAAGACGGCCGAGTGCATCGCGAGAAACGACAGGGTCAGCCAGAAATGGGTCGCTTGGATTTGCAGGGCCGGAGGTCGCGCTGTCAGTCATAAAGAGTGTCGCACGGCCATCGACGGCGGGCAGCGCCGAGGACAACGAGCCCGGCTTCGTGCATTTGTCACATACGTTAGCTGGAAATACAATGAAAGACGGCTATAAACGTGGCGATACTTGATGTGAATCCCGCCTACCATTCCCGTGTTGCAGTGCGGCATGGGGAGCTGTTCCTTGTAGTAGAATCAGATCGCTGCATCCTGTCAGTCTGGAAGGAACGAAGAGAGGAGCGACGCACGGATCTGCTCGTTAGGGACGGTGAGCGGCCACATGGGGAGTGTGCTCATGTTCGTGAGGGTCTCAACCCAGCCTCAGTCGAAGCTGCCCTTGATCACCGTTCACGGCGCCGCGAATGTCGACTGCGTCACGCTGTGGTTGCCGGGGCTGTCCAGGCCGGTTAGTGAAGGGCGGAGCCGTGAGCGGATGGGCGGCAAGGGTGGGGATGCAGTATGTGGGGGGATGTGTGCCCACGAGCATGGGTCATTCTGTATCCTCATCAGCCAAGGCGCGTACTCCACACCGCGAGAGCGCACCAGAACACTAGAGAAAGAGTCCAGCCAAAAGAGGCTGATTCGTGGAGTCCGGGCGCGGTGAACGGGGGGTGCTGCGGGAAGGGAGATGGGGGAGGAAGAGAAAAAGAGGAACATCACAGCGGAGGAGTTCTCCGTGATGTTACGGACTGATTGCGGCACTCATCCGACCGCTTCGTCAGCCTGAATATGTCATCACTCCCGGCTCCAGACTTAGCGGATTTTCTGAGGGTTTGAAGTTTTCTACATTGTGCTGGTACTAGTATACTTAACATGCTCGAGATATTTCAATCCTTTTGTTAAACTCCTTTCACAGAACTGATCAGATGCCATGGATATAAGAAAAACATATAGGCACTAGTAGTATGCATTACTCAAGTACTACTGGTGATTATTCTACAGTGATACTGGAGGGTAACCATACAGACTCTTCACATAGCTCTCCAAATAGCCAAAAGATGATACAAGTCTTTTTTAAGGTGTGGGATAAGACAGTTCAAGATGTGTAAGACATTATAAGATCTTACAGGGTCTTTATATAGCTTTTCAAGAAGTCAAAAAATCTTACAAGTCTTTTTTAAGATGTGGGATAAGACACCTTAAGATGTGTAAGACATCATAAGATCTTATGAAAGTTGCAAAAGATCACTAAGATCAATAAGATATTCTAAAACATTCTAAGATCTTTTATAAGATGTGTCTAAGATGTTGTCATTTTCCTGATGCTTCTGGACATCTTGTGTAATACTCATATCGTAGCCATGGCCATCAACCACAAGTGTAGCCAAGGATGACGGGTACACCCGCAGGCGTAGTTGGATTACAAGTGACTTGAGATTGCGGAGAGCGGTGGGAGGAGACCAGTTTTGAATGGCATCAACATAGTGCTTCGGTAAACTCATTAGTGTTGGAGTTCACCAGTTGCGAATGATTGCCCTACCGCTCCAGCCGTGCCTAGTGGGGCCGGGCGTGATTGCAAGCAATTGTGGGTGAGAGATGCAGATTCGAGATGTGAGGACGTCCAGAGGGCATTTGCCATGAATGATAATGTTCAAACGTTCAAGGGTTGATTTCTGCAGGGCAATGCGACCAAAGACATTGTCGAAGTTCATTGCGCAGGTAAAAGTCGCTGATGTGAAGCTGCAGAATACGTAGGGGACAGACAACATAGTCAGGGAGGAATACAGTGGCAGTTGTTTCCAAGACACGAAGGTTGCCAAGATATGTTGGGCACTTGATCAATGTCTCCGCAGCAATGGGGAACTCCCACTCATCGGGAATAGAGAGGACTCGGATGTCCGTTTGCGTCTGCCAGAAGTCTGCGCTACCATGGCGTGGAGTGCGCTACCATGGCGTGGAGTGACTGTGCCGCTGTCAGGCTGTGGCGGAGCCTCATTAAGCAGCCGAAGGGCAAGACCGCTACAGTGGAAGCGCTCCAGTCGAAACGGGGTCTGGAGCACGAGCCAGTACCAGTAGCATGCCTCCGCCCGGCTCGTTACCCCACGGGAGTTGAGGCCAGCCGTGGGGAAAATGTGCGTAGGATGCAGGATCTTGTGCAGGATAGACAGGTCAGTGAGGTTCACACAGTTTGAGGATGCATGCAATCTTCACACAGTCCTCCGTCTCCAGGTCGTGAAGCAGCCGAATGGAAAGCTTCTTCACGAGAGGGTACAAGTACGTACGCCGCTTCATCGTCTTGCACCAAACACGTAGAACGTGGCTGGTGCATAGGGATGCCAGCCGTTGCCGTAACGGCAACGGCCGTCGATGTGACGGGTGGGCGACGGCGACGGCCGTTGAAATCACGGCCGTCGGAGCGTATAACAGAGAGCCCGACGGTACGGGACGGGCAACGGGACGGCCGTAACGGTTACGGGACGGCCTCTGGCTCTGATTCCATGAATTGACCACAATATCACCGTTTTTAGACCCGATATGGCTGATAAATGACCCGCTGTCATGAATGCAGCTCCAGATTAGGCTCGACACCACATGCTGACCTTCGGCCAGGCCGGGCTAGGGCCCGGCGTGACGCGACAAGGTTACATCATCTCTTTCGATGGGACCGCGGAGGGGGTCGGGAAGTCGGCATGCACCTGGCGCATTGTCCATTTGTTGCTGCCTGCGAAGTCATCGCAGATCGGCGGCAAATCACTGTTGCAATGGTGGGTAAACAGCTGATTTGCGCTATGATACCCGTTGACCCGTACCAACGGCCGTCGCGGCCGTAATTCGACGGCTGTTACGGCCTACACCCGAACCGTAACCGTCCCGTCAGGGAGCCCCGACGGTACGGTAACGGCTACCCGTTGACGGGTCCCGTCGACCCGTGGCTACGGCCACGGGCGGCATCCCTAGGTGGGCACCCACTGGCACTCAGATCGATGTCGCGGTATAGGAGGCGCTCCGCCTCAGAGCGAACGGCGTGCGAGACGAGGCAAAGTGCCTTTATCGTCGTCGTGGAAGACGATGCGGCGATGAGATGGATGAGCTCTGGGGGCCATGAAGGCATGGGAGAAGTGGGCTGTGTCGTGACGACGGTGACGGGTACTTATCAATGATCCGCCCCACAACTGTGGCATCCCAGCATCATGATGTCCCAAAAGGATATTGATGCCTCCCAGTCCGCAAATAATTCATATTAAAAGACATTAGACTTGGGGACCTATTCATCCGTCATTAATACGAGAGAAACTCGCGCTCCGCATCCCACTCCCACCCATCCACGGTCCGCTCATATATCTCGCCCGCCTCGCGTGTAAACACGTAGCTAACTGGCATCCCCACATCCACGCCAATCTCGAGGCGCTGTAGCGAGGGCAGGCAGTGTTGCAACAGGGCACGGCCGAAGCGGCGCACACTGCTGGATTGTGTCAGATTGAAGGTCGCATCGCTGTCGAGGAGAGCTATCGAAAGCGCTGGTGGGTGGGCCCGCCGTCGAAGCTGTAGTACAAGGGTCTCGAGCCGAGCAAGCCTTCCGAGTCCGTTCCAGCCAGAAGTTACCAGGTCGTGCTTTCGCTCCGCCTCATGCTGGAAAATGAATAAGCATTGATTGACTGTCAATGAGAGACATGTGCTTACCTGTCCAGGGGTTAACAGAGGAGGCTGGGTAATAGCTAGATGGCGAAGTTTGGGGTGTGCTTCGGCGGTTAAAAAAGTCAGGTGCGTCAACGAGTGCTCCCCGTGTGCAATAATGTTGAGTCGTTCAAGAGTTGCTTTGTGGAGTGCAATGCAGGTAAAGACATTGTGATTCTCGTCGGACGAGTGAAAACAGCTCACGTGCAGCTGAAGAACACGGATCGGGCGCAGAATGAAGGGCGGGAGAAATCCAGTAACGGTCGTTTCAAGAACCTCTACGCCGGCGAGGTAGGCAGGGCATTCAGTGAGGTCGGTCGCGCTAATGGGGAACTTGTACTCGTCTGGGAGAGAAAGTACGCGGAGGCTGCTTTGAACGGCCCAAAATCCTCGGATCGACTGGGGCGGGGGAGCGGGGTCTGTTGTGTCCGCGATTTGGAATCGAAGACCAGTGCAGCGGAATCGTTCCAGCCGGAAGGGCGCCTCGAGGATGAGCCAGTACCAATAGCAGACTTCTTCTTGGTTGGTTGCTACGCGCGAGTTTGTCCCGGCAGTGGGAAAATGACGCGTGGGGTGGAGAATGGACAGGTCTTTGAGATTGATGCATAGTTTCAGGATGCATGCGATCGTGACGCCGTCATCTGTCTCCAAGTCGCGCAGAAGTCGGATGGAAAGCTTCCTCACCACTGGGTAAAGGTGTTTGCGCCGCTTCATGGTTCTAAACCAGGCCCGAAGGACACGTCGACTACACTCCGTCAGGTCGATGCTGGCATACAGGACGCGTTCGGCTTCGGAGCGCGCCGAGTGCGAGACGAGACAGAGTGCGAAGAGCGTCGACGGGGCAGCAGAGGTTGCGATGATGTGGATGAGCTCGGGAGGACATGGCGGCATGAGACAAGTCGTGTTACGTGGCGGTGCCGCGACAGTAGTAATATTTGATCCGGTAACCAAAGGTAACCAGGGCGACTTGTAATCCTGGTTATATCTTGAGGTAGAAGAACACTCAAGTTCACGTTTTTTCTGGTAAGTGACCTGAGTCCCAATGTAAATTAGCCTCAGAGTGACTGCCCACGTAGCCTCACTTGGCTCACCATCAAGCTTGCTGCGCAAGGAACGCCACGTGGCACTTATCAACTGCGACATCGCTTATTCGCTTCTGCCTCTTACTCTCACCATGGAAAATGTCCTTTCCGACGATGAGCCCCGCGAGCGGTCAGTTCCCTTGGCGGAGACGTGCTCCGACATCGTTGTCGCTGCGACCTCATCACCGCCTCTGGTTCTCCACGCGCCTGCCACGGAAGACCAGATTACCAGTAGCGACGACGCCCTTCTTCAGCCCGCTTGGAGTGATAGAGAAACCCGCGATACGCCGACGTGCCAGCATTTCCTCGAGGAGCGGCCTGTGGAAAGAACTACCGCTCTAAAGTGCGTTTTCAATTCATCTCTCCGTCAACTCTGACCCAGTCGCAGACGCGGCCAACCCGTCTTCAATCGGGCGGGTCAGGCCATCTGTCGTATCATGGCACGCAATGCGAAGCAGTGCTGGACGTATGGTCGGATCGCCGCGATCTTTGGCGTATCGTACCAGTCGGTGCAGCGGGCGGTCGAAAATAAGTCCGCCGACGATGTGGCAGACGATTATGAGGCCGCGGGCGACCCGGATTTCAGCGTCTACTTCCCGCCTCTTCCGCCAGGGTCAAGGTCGTTGACTGACTCGGAAAAAATGGTGAGTGCGGTGCATTTTCCGCGGGATAACCTGATATCTCGTTCGCAGGCGTTTTCGGAGGACTACAGCGAGGGTGTACGTAAAAATAAGGTTGTTCGCGGCCTCACTGATATGCCTCAAGGAAGGGGGGACGTCTTCCACGTTTGACAGCGACATAATCGTCACGACAGGCTTGAATGTGCGCCATCCTCCCAGCTTAGTTGTCCGTGACTGATGTCTTCAGCGGGCCGCGAAAGATTCATTTTACAAACGGCTGGGTAGATTGTCCGACGCTGGCTACCGTAATCCTACGGCCCCTGATTTCGTATGCCACGTCCTCTTCGTATTGGACGAAACTAACTGCTCACAGTCACACAAACGGCCAATCACTGATACATTCACCGATTCGGACGAAGAAAGGTGTTCCCCACCGAAGCGCTGCCACGTAAGCTCTGGTAACCGGCCCACCAGTGCAGCCTCGAGTCCTGTCGACCGCCCATATCCATATTTCGGCCCAGTCGGCTCATTGAGCCACGTTCAAAGTTTTCCTCACGTAAGAAGACATTCTGCTCGGCGGCATACGTCTGATTCTCGCAGATGTTTGGCCCCACAAACCATCCGATTGTGTCGAACTGCGCTTCTACAGTGCGCTCGGTTTTCCTGCCGTCTCATTACGCTGCTGACCGCCCATAGGCGCACTCTGCCCAGGGCGATACTAGTACTCCCAAGGTGCGCGCTCTTCATTTTCAGGACCGAATTACGAGGCTTATTCCTAGAATAATGGTGCTCGAAGTGTGGAGAAACACATTCGGCGAGCATTACCCAAGCCTCGTCTTGAAGCAACGGCCCGGGCTGCCGGCGCTCTGTCGGTTTCTCCTCTACAACATTGTCCTCCGAAGAGCAGTGACGTCGGAACCTTCCTGAAAACGGCTCTCCCATACCTCAGAGACGATCGGTTCGCCAGCTACGTGTGTCTTCTCGAGAGAAAGGGTTTCACGGTGGGACGGTTGCACGCCATGGCAGGCTGGCAGAAGCAAGAGCTGAAAGAGGCGGGGCGACTGCTCACGGTGCCCAGCAAAGAACGCCCCGACGAGCGCATGGTTCCAATCGAGTACGCCCAGCTGGTGCAGGCGGTACAGAAGCTCGGCGGCGCGAAGGTGCGATCCATCGATTACCCCGCAATGAAACTCACACTGTTCTAAGCAGAAGTCCCTCGACCCGTGCCTCCCGCCGGTTGGCGCGAATCCGCTGCACAGCAGCCGCACGCTGGCGGACTTTCTCCGGTACGTTATGGGCTTTGACCTGTCTGGTCGAAAAAGATTGTGCGAGATACAGGGAATCACTGTGGTATTCCTATGCGAACAACGGAAAGCGAAGGACGATGGGGAGCTGCGTGAATTGCTGGAGGCCGTGTTGCTGGACGACGAGGACGCGCTTATGTACGACGAGGCGGCCGCGGAGCCGCGAATGACGGCGCTTGAGGTCTTGGCGGTAGAGTTGGCGATTCGGAGAGCCAGAACGGCCGAGGAATTTGTCTGAGACCTGTTAGTGAGTATATCACATGTTCTTGTATGAGCGATGCAAATGTAAGCTGCCTTTTCAAGTTTTTATACGTTCTTGGGTTCTGAATGTTGATAGGCCATACAACCCGCCCGACGCCGACGCACACGCAAGACGCAACTCTATCGTACGGATCAAATTTCCATATCCGGCCCCATCTGATCGCTTGATCAGCGCTCAAAACGCTGGCGATCCGGTCTCGCTTAGCCACTCCTTTCCTCTTACGCCCATGTCACTTCGAAAACTGGTCAACGCGGCGGCTATCCTCGTGCTCGCCGGGACATGCTACCTGGGCGGCGTCTCCCGCCTTACCTCGGGCGCCTACACCCCCGGCTTCTACGCTTACCAGCTCTCCCGCGCGCCCAACGACAACTACTACGTGCCCGTGCTCGACCTCGTGTTCGCGACATTCCTCTTCCCGCGCGCCACGCGCAAGCCAACCGCCCTTCTCCTCGTGGCGCTGAGTGGGCTGGGTGTGTGGATGGCAGCGCGCAAGGGCCTCAGTCCCGTGCCGGAGATCGCGCTGGTGGGAATTGCGCTGGCGGCTTTCATGACGGCGCCCAGAACCGGTGTGTAGTCGTGCGTGACTGCTTCCTCCTGTTCTGGTGTCCACTGACTTGTTGATTGTAGAATAAATTACAATATACGATTTATATGCATATAACTGCGTACCCTTGAACACAAACCCGAGTCTCTGCTTTTCTGTATACCCTCAGCATTCTAAGCAAGACAATTCACTGAACCCGATCTTCCCGATGTCTGCCCGGCAGCATCCGGGCGACGATAGTGTGCTTGTACTTGATGCTGACTTGTAATCTCTCGACCCCCACCTTCACAGTGCGCTGTCCCCTACTATCACATTATGATGCTGACAGCGCACTCTTCCCCGCGCGATACTAGTACTTATAAGGTGCTACTTCCTGTCAAACGACCGCATCACATCTTCTATATCCGTATTCGCAACGCATCGAGAATCCTCCGGCCTTCCTGGGAAACCATATCGACCGGCTGAGCATGGGGTTCTAACGCCACTGTTGCTTGTGGCTTTGCATTCAAGCGTTCTGCCGAGCTTTCCATCTGTCCTGTTGGCTCCCCATTAAAAATGATCAACGAGGGAAGTTGCGGCATGGCAACGGGCTCATCCCGTCTGTGACCGTTCATTTGTTGGCTCCACGTATGGCCAAGGGGGCGGCTTGAATGCAGCATGGCCGTCGGTGGCTCCGACCGGGTGTCGTGATCAGTTTCCGCATTTTTGCTCCTCACGAAGACGCCTTCCAGAACGCGAATGCCTGCGAATACATCGTAGTGCTCGAGAACTGGCAGCAGGCTGCGGTCCACCCACTGAAATGACCTTCGCTAAGTCTATTTTCTTGCTGGATATATAAACTCACGCGAGTGTAGGCGACGAGATGCCATTTACGCGGAGGTCGTCCCGGTTGCTTCGCGACCTGGAAGCTATACGTCTGTTTTGTGAGGCCGTCCGACTTCTCTGGCCGTTTATTCCGCGAAGGTGGAGCAAGAGTCAGGCTAGGATTGACTACTCGCTGCGCGCTGCAACAAAGGGCCGTCAGGGACTCGAACACATCGTTTTGCAACGGCAAATACTTTACCGTCGAAATGCCTTTGCGTCCTTCTCTGCATCCGTCAGCTCGATCTTCTCCTGGTAGAACAACGAGTCCCCGACGACTCTGCTCTGCGACCTGTCCTGTCTCAGCCTAACACGAGGCTATTCGCTGGGAACCCACCATCTTCGGCCATCGGTCCAGCGCACCAAGCCACCGTCTTCATCAGACTCCTCCCAAACGAACACATTACCAGCTTGCAGCTCGTCGCGTTCGCTCCCGCTTAGGCGTACGGTTATAAGGCGCAGTAGCTTGCGACGGACGGCCTCGAGCACGACCAGCGCGTCCGCCATGTTGCGAATGTCTGACAGGCATGAGGCGCGCGACTATCACGGGCAGAGAACAAAAGCCAACGACTCACGGAGTCTGGGGTGGGTAATATTTTCCCTGGTGTATGGCGCTGACCCAATTGCTAGGGATGGCGGTAGAGCAATCCGGGGCAGGACACGTCGGGCAGTAACGTCGGGGTTTAACCTGGAGCTAGGGCCATCGACATTCATTTCGTGCTGGCGCTCGCACGAAGAGCCTGGCCCAACGCTATCCCCGCACCCGCCTGTTATATTCCTCATGAATGAAAAGGCGATACGGCATTCAACCCACCATCCCCTTCTTTCAGCCACACTATTTGTGGTATCTTGTGATTCCCGCAAGACGGCTGCCTGTACGAGCGTGATTTGCTGCTGGCGCGTGCAGTTGTCCGCTTCTACAACTCATCCGAAATCGCATAAGTCAGCCTGCCTTTCAACAGCGCTCGCCCTTCATTTCCATTTCCTCTGTCGTGGTGACCTCCGTGCCTTCTGTCGTCGCACAACAGCACACGTTCCATTATAATCTCTGCATGGGTGCTGTCAACGCCCGCAGATGTCGGCCCACATCCCCAGCGCTTCTCGATTGCCGCCGGTGTCTATAGCCTTTATCGCACAGCTCCGCCCCCACGGTGCTTATATGCCTATTTGCAGATCAAATCCAAACGGCGACTCAATTCGCGAAGAGCCCGTTATCGCAGCCATGCATGACAGAAAGCCCCCGGCCCCCGGGACGTCGGCTTCGATATATTCGGGGTCGATGTCGCCTGCACGATGAGTCACGAAGGCTATCTACTATTTCTGAAGTATTATAAATACCCCGCAGGAACGTGCTGTCGCTGGTGAGCTCTGACTCACGGAGAATGGAAAACGAGTCGCCAAACGCGCGTCAAACGCCGAGCTGTTGCCGCAGAATTTCCCACACGGGCCCCGCTCAAACGTACAACATGATCGGAACAGCTCTGCGAAGCGCTCCTCGATACGTCGCTACTCACTATGACTGTCTTTGCAAGAGCTATCATTCGCCAGTCCCAGGAACTCATTTATCAGCGTGAGTAAGCCTCGACACTGGCAACGGCAGTTGTGACCTGGAGTGTGCCAACACCTTCGCGCACTTTCAATTCCGAGTTGGAAATAATTAGGTTATTTTTAACAAAGAAGCCCACCACTAATCATAGTCTATATTTGTTGGTTTTGAATCAACATGACTTTTACTTCAAACAGACACAAATCAATTGCAATTTCAACATTGCAGTTCAAGCATTTCTGAAGCTTAGTCTTGTAAACACCTGGATATTATTGTAGAGACTCTGAAATTCAAATTACTGCATTACAATTAGTCCAGTGGGCCTGTCACCCTCATGCTAAAATGTTTGATTTGGCCAAATTTTGTGTGGCCTATTACCTGAGTAGGAAATTTGGTGTGCAAAATTTCCCAATTGGGACTTTTTGGGACTAAAGAAATTAGCTGGGACCTGTGACCTGCCAACAAATCTGATGTGATTGACTGATAGAAGGTAGAATTGATTGAAATGATTCAGTATATGAAATATTATGCCTTTAGTTGATCACTTACCTATGGCTTGGTTCAATATATTATGTGATATTATGACTATACTCTATTATAACGGCAAAATATTCAAATATATTGTGCATTTGGCTACTCCAACATAAGGCTCTGGTATGTATCCTCCTAAGTACCACTGAATGTGGCACCAAGAATGCAATGCATTCACTCATCAGTGCCCTTTGATCTCCATCACCTTTGAAAGATAAGCCCATATCTCCAGCTAGCCTTAGTGGATAAAGCTGAGAGAGGGTTCATTTGAAAGGTATATCATCCTACTATCCTTGAGCCCTATCAGCCATTGTTTTTGTTATCATTACCTTCATTTATTCACTGCCAAGAATGTCTAAATACTCAGTAGAGCAGTGTTTTGCTGATATCCTAAAACTACATGCATGGAATCTTATGATCCAAATTGATCTGGAGCTATAGGATGGTCGACCACATCTTTACTTATTTGTGACCACACAGCCACTGTGAGGGTCAGTCAATTCTCTGAGACCTTAGGTGCCATATATTCTAGGATGGAGATAAGCTAATAGGGTGAGGGCACCATTTTCTGGGAGGTGCATGATACCCCTACCTGTAGATGTACTCAAATCAATGAGATTCACAAAGGCTATACTATGGTGAACTCATCATTTTTGGGATAGATAACACTGATAATGGTACTGTGAGAGATCCACAATAGCTATGAGGTTAATTCAAGTGCTGAACAGGTTCATTTAGGTGTCCATACAATCCTACATTCATGTCCTAGATCATACTTGAAATTAATTTCTGACCAGTTGTAATAGCAAAGACACTCTCTTTTGCTCTCTGGGTACCTACCCTCTCTTCAGCTACCTTCTGTAACACTTGCCAGAACCATAATAGATTATAGTATGGGGTCCTACTAGACATCCAAATATCCTCATACATGTATCTCAATGTCCAGTACTCAGTCTATAGACCCCGCCATTCATGGAAACTAGTTCTGCACTCAACTCATCTTGGAATGTTTATCCCAATGCATCCTCTGAGAGTATATAGAGATCAATCGGAGTATGTGGGTAGATTTATACACCTCATTTGCCAACTTTCACATATTTGATGTATAATCAACTAGCAGATTACAGCTGTATTGCTAATATAATGTGGTGTCAAAAGTGCAAGCTTATAGGGGGACCCCTTCTCATGCTTGCTACCCTTATACCATGGGGGATCCCTCACTTCTAATTCAGTTATTGGAAGATTGATGTGTTAGGATATATGTCATATATGGAGATAAATATGATATCTAAAATTATAGGGAGCTCCCATATCTATGATGGCCATCTATTAGAACAGAGCACAACTTGCATTAGGCCTATCCATGGATTTTCCAGTGAGATATCAAGTGATCATTGAGTCTGATCAAATTTGAAACATGAAAACTAGAGAAAAACAGTGTAATATCATAGTCTCAAGATATAGGACCATGATTATATCAGAGCATATGAGCAC